GGAAGTTTGTTTTCTAATACCCATTTTTACACACTTTATATACCCAGTGCCAAGCATGGAGCAGGACCTCAACAAATTCATGATTGAGTGAAATAAATGAAGACTGTTTATGCAGTGATGATTTAAAATGTTGTCTCCTACAGTCTAGGAGCAAGGGGATAGATTGAATGGAATAATTTCCAGTTCAGGTGGTCATGATCCAGTAGAAAAATGGATAACGTACTAAGGTAGCCCTAAGGAGAGAGACACCTGCTCACCTGGAGAAAGCTAGCCGTACTCATAAAAGACTCCTCGTAAGGGGCTGAGTCTCAGATGAAAATAAATATGTTAGAACAAAGAGGAAAACATTTTAGGTAAAAAGAACAGAATGTACACTTTTGTGTAAAAAGTAACAGTAATTTTTCAAAACACTAATAATTGACAAAAAAAGTTACGTTTATGAGGTAGAGAATGGTGTACAGTGTTACTTCATAAGTTTCTGTTGTATTTTTACATTTTGTTTTGTTTCTGATGGATTTGATCACTTAGGTTGGGTGGATGAATTTGTGAATGAATCTTGGAGATGTTTATATGCCTTCCGCCTGGTGACAGCTAGTGTCTCCCCAAGTGGTTGATGTTTTGGATGATTAGAAACATTTTTTAAAGAAGTGAATATTCAGCTAAAGATTAAGCTACATTTCAGCTCTCAATTTATAAAATACTAATCAATGTTGTTTTCTACTTTTAGAAAGATATATTTAACTGTTGTAAGTACTTCTTCTCAACTAAATATATAGGTTTGTCAGCAGAACAAGACTTTAAAATGACAGCAGAGGAAGAGCAAGAAAAACTTGATGGAAATGAAAATAAGGAGCCACAGGTAAATAAAAATGGAAATTTAAATTTCTGGCTGAATTGTTTGCTTTAATAATGTAGCATAGTCCAAATTAAATTACGTTTGGACTAGCCTTTTAGAATCAGTAGACCATAGCTAATTATTAAATATTTAATTAAAAAAACATTTTAACTAGTTATAAATCTTTAAATATTTTTAGAATCTGTAGTAACTTATAGCTAAATTTTACCCATGGATTTGAGGCAAAACCTTTTCTGAATATTGTTTGGTCTTCCATTTTTGTAAGTTCTTGACATGATAAGGAAGGTAACATCAAATACTGCTTTATATCATTAAGCAGGTGAAATTATGAACAATATAAATGTTAGGGCCACTGAGTTGGACTCATGTTTGAGGAGCAGTCACCCCCAGTGGTTCAAAATATGTAGCTTTTTATTGCTGGTCACTAAAGCCAAGATTAAAGATTTATTTTGCCTTGTGGTTTCTAATTGACTTCAGCATCTACATGCAGGGAGAGTACGGGGCCATAAAATCAACCCCACTGATTGTTAAGAGAATCAGTCATACCTTCCAGAATGGAAAGGTGTTAGGTTATAAACAGTAACTTTCAAACCTATTTCATTTCAATGGAGGAAATCACTAAATATTTCTAAAATATTTTTATCCACTGTTGTTAGTGGACATTAGACTATATTAGAATGGGACTTTAGCAGACAATCTATATAGATGTATAGCACTATGATGGTATGTAATTTGAATTAAAATTTAAGAATGTATTTTTCTTTCTGATTAGTGTGCATTTTGGCCCCTAATAAAGTTTCTCTACTTCCCAGTAACTTATCTTTAGAGAGATTACTTAACTCCACTGTATGGGCTCACTGTTTATGGTATGGTGATATAAGATCTTTTTAAGGGAGGAACCTCTGTAATATTAACAATC